GAATGGATTACGGAATTCTGACTTCTGGAACTGGAAGCTAATAAATTTGTGTTAAGCAAATAGACTGTGGTAATTTTACAGCAGCAATAGGAAACATATTAATAAAACACTGTAGTCTAACACATTGCCATAAGCCCTGACCTCTGTTACTGTAATAGATTGTTAACTGGTGTCTCTGTCTTTTCTTTTCTTTCTTTTTTTTTTAATCTGGTAGGAACAGTTAACATGAGATCTACCCTCTTAACAGATTTTGAAGTGTACAACACAGTATTGTTAATTAGAGGCACAACACTGCACAGCAAATCTCTAGAGTTTATTCATCTTGCCTACCTGAAACTTGAGACCCATTGACCAGCGATTCCCCCCAGTCCCTGGCGCCACCATTCTACTGTCTGCTTTTGTGAGTTTGATTATTTTAGGTATCTCATATAAGTGGAATCATAAAGTATTTGACCTTCTGTGGCTGACTTATTTCCCTTAGCATAACGTCCTTGTTGGGGCTCAGAAACTGATATCCCAAAATACGGCATTTTGACATTGCTGAACCGAAGAAGCCTCAAGGTCCTCTGACCATCCTCCTTCTCTTTCAAACAGAATTCTCTGAAGTTCCCTTATCTGCCTAAAGTCCCGCTCTACCAAAGAAGAAAACAGTTACCTCCTCCGGTCCCTTCCCTGAGTTTTCACTAATTGAACCCATATTGCAGGAAGGAGGACTAAAGTCTGTTATCAAACCTGGACAGACCTTTGTCACAAACCATTGTCCACTCTGTGGGACCAACAGACTTTGCCCCAGACCATTGTATGCTCTTCAAGCCCACTGAATTCTCCCTAGTAATCATTTATTGCCCCTCAACAGAATTCCTCCTCTCCCCCTTTCCCATAATCTGTTTTGCCAGGATCCAAGACCCTATGCTTTGTGTAACCTCAAGACAGCATATAAGCCTCTGCAGCCCACTGCGGGGCTGGGTCTTCATTCTGAAGGCTCCTTTACATACACTTTAAATAAATTTGTATGCCTTTTCTCCAATTAGTCTGCCTTTTGCAAGTTGAATTTTCAGCGAAACTTCAGAGGGCCAAGAGGTTCCCTTGGCTCCTACATCCTCGAGTTTCATCCATCTTGTTACATATTGCAGGATTTCTTCCTTTCTTAAGGCTGAGTAGTATTCCATTGTGTGTATTCTCTGGGTTGACGCCTGACTCCCTGTAAATCTCCCTCAAAACAGTCTGGGTGATGATTTCAAATTCTCCTGTTCAAAACTGTCCAATAGCTTCTCATCTACTTTGTATAAAACCCAAACTCCTTACCTCAGCCTACGAGGCCCTCCATAGCCCTGGCTACTTCTCTAGCTCTCTTGAATCGCTCTCCCCGAACCCCCTTCCTCCAACTACTCTGGCCTTAGGGTCTTTGTAGTAGTCATTTCCTCTATCTGGAATGCCCTCTCCCCACAGTTGGCCAAACGGCTGACTCATTCAGGCCATTCGGGTCTTAACTGCAAAATTACCTACCTATCTTTCCATGGGCACGGTGGCTCACGCCTGTAATCCTAGCACGCTGGGAGGCCAAGGCGGGAGGATTCCTTGAGCTCAGGAGTTCCAAGAGACCAGCCTGAGCAAGAGCAAGACCCGGTCTCTACTAAAAATAGAAAAATCAGCCGGCCGTGGTGGCGCCCCTGTAGTCCCAGCTACTCGGGAGGCTGAGGCAGCAGGATCGCTTGAGCCTAGGAGTTTGAGGTTGCTGGAGCTAGGCTGACGCCACGACGACACGGCACTCCACCCAGGGCGACAGATCGAGACTCTCTGTCTCTAAATAAATAAATAAATACATAAAAAGGCATTCCATGGCCATCTGGCTTGAAATAGACCCCTAGTACCCCTTAACACCTCTTGTTTTTTGTTTTAATGATTTCCCTTATCACTACTGGGCATTTCCTTGGTTACTCATTTGTGCATTTGTTTCTAATCTGTTCCCAGTAGATTGTAAACTCAGTAAGAATGAGAACCTCTGTGTCTTTCCGTTGAAAGCACCGTGTGTCCTGCACCTAGAGAGGGACATACAGTATGCGCTCCACAAAAAGAGAGGGGGACCACTTGAGTGTGTAGCCAGGAAGTCCTCTCAGTGGAGGTGTTTTTTAGCTGGTGTTTGTATTTTTTTTAATGAAACTTTAATCTCAAGCACATGTATATATTTTCTAGGCAACTTGACAATATCTATCAATGCACAAATGTACGGAACTTTTGACCTAGTAATTTAAAACTTGGGAACTTATCCAGATATATAATTGCATAATTACATACATGCAAAAATGATACTTTTTTTTTTTTTGGAGAGACCAGGGGAAAAGGTCCCCTGTCTAGTTTTGCAAGAACTTTGTTCTCTGACTTGTTAGGGAAGAAAGATGAGGGGATTGTGGATAAATAATTGAGCCTGATTGGTAAAAAAGCCAGATTGGTACCTAAGTTAACATGCTTTCAAACTACTGCTACGTTTCGGATTGATTTTTTAATCCATCACTCCTTATTGGTAAATTCAGTATCATCTAGTAAAAAGACCCTGTTGGAACAAATGATAGGCAGTATAAAAACCTTGGAATTGATGTAAAAGGATTTTACCAAATTCATGCCAGCAGAGGGGGTATAGCTCAGTGGTAGAGCATTTGACTGCAGATCAAGAGGTCCCCGGTTCAAATCCGGGTGCCCCCTCGGTCGCCTTCATGTTTTTCCTAGCCACCAAGGATAACGCGAGTTAGCGAGTCGTGAATCCAAAACTCAATGTATGTGTCCTTTGCCCCTTCCACGTACCTACCTACCTAAGAAGTAGAGAGCACCAGCCAGCTTGCTTTAAATATGGGCCTGAGCTGCAAACCTCAAGTGCCGAGAAGCCCACCCGTACTTTCAACTGGTAAAACGAAGGGGCCGAGCTAGTCCTATCTCCGAGCCTGATCGATACCTACTGCTGTAATGTTAATTATAATTTGTTTGGAGGTAAAAAATGGCGTGTCATACCCTGCCTGGGTAGAACGAATCCAAACTCAGAAGGTTTAGATACGAAGTTTAACAGGACCTGGCATAGACAGAAAGTAAAAGGTGAACACTTCTTTTCCTTCTTTATATTGGCTCGAAGGCAAGCTTTGTCCTGATAACTTGCAGATAGTGAGTTCTCGGCCTGGTATCCAGGAAAGGGAGAAAAACTGGTTATTTCTTCCTCCCTTTTCTGGCCTGCAGACGCAGCAGCTCACAGTAATGGGAGCTGGGAGGAAAAATGCTCTCGAGTATTCCCCCCGGGCTGAGAGATGACACAACCAGATTCCAAGTTTAAAATATCGCAGCTGCCCCTTGACCCAGGCAGCATGGCTCTCCCTTTCTCTTTATTTTTCCTTTTTTTGGGCAAAACCTAGTCGAGGGGGAAGCCCTTGCTTCCCTTTTCACAGTTAACGTTTTCCTTTGGCCCAACAGTGACATTGTCAGTCCCGCAACCAGCAGATATCTATTCCCATCGTTAGGTTATGAAACTCGGTGGCCTTATGTTATTACTTCAGTGATTCTCAAAGTGTGGTCCCCAGACCCCCAGCACCAGCAGCACCTGGGAACTTGTTACAAATGCAAATTCTTGGGGTCCCATTCCAGGCCTACAGAAGCTGGAGGTGTTTTAACAAACCTTCCGGGTAATTCTAATGCACACTCAAGTTTGAGAACCACTGCATTCCTTTATATCACTTGGTATTGGGCTATAATTTTATTTTTGCACATTAAAATGAGCTGATGGTTGTGCATCAGCCATTTTCACGTTCTCAAAGTGCGTTCACTGCTTGCGTCAGAAGCAATAGGCATGGGCGAACACACCACATCCTTGTCACTGGTAATACAGAAAGTTGAAGTTGGAGAAGGGCTGTGTGTGTGGGTTCCTTTCTTTTGACCCACTTCCTACCCCTAGCGGAAATGGAACGCCAATTTGAGGGAGTCATCCTGTTCCCCTAGTCCCACTGGAAACAGAATGCCAACTTGGGGGAGTCATCCTGTTCTCCCAACCAGCGCTTCTGACTGTCCGACATATCTGAGGCTGGTGGCCGTGGCCGCAGAAATCCCGACACCTCTGGCGCCACTGATGGGGACGCGCACGCAGCTTTTGTACCTGACTGTGCTCGCATCCACCCCTCCTCCTCCCGCTGGGCATAAAATAAAACCGAAAGCTTTCTGCTAAGGTTGAAAAATGAGGAAGGGACTTTTTTCATATTTGTTTTCTTTTAGCCTACGACCCAATGTTTAAAAATCAGTCAAGAATGAAAAACAGGTTGTACTAGTTAGAAAGGGAAGGAAAAACCACCAAGGGGGCACCCGGATTTGAACCAGGGACCTCTTGATCTGCAGTCAAATGCTCTACCACTGAGCTATACCCCCGCGCCGCTCCTGCGCTTGGAGGTGGGTCTTTTGGGTGCTAGGACATTGTTCCAGCTGCTACACTGGGGACAGCGAGTAAAGATAAAGACAGAGGAATGAAGGAGGAAAGGGGGCCAAGCTGAAAACAGAAGGTGCCCGGATCCAGGGGACCCTGCGGAAAGCAGCACGACCGAGGCGCGGGGAGGGAAGAACTAGCCCGGGTCGCGTGGCGCTGAGTCCAGGAGGGAGGGACGGGTTCCGCCCGACAAATGTGAGGAAGGGTGTGGGTGGGAAGGGGGCTGAGGGGAGGGGTAGGGGGTTCCCGTTCGCTGCGCAGGTTCACGCCAGGTACCAACAAGTAGAAAGGAAAGTCCCTGAATCCAGTGAATCTGTTCGGGCTTTCAGTAGGGTTCCAACCCCACCCTCGACGGGTGCGAGGCGTTACTCCGCCTCGCGCACCCCGGGCGCCCCAGGTGTGCAGCCAACCCGGCTCCGCGCCGCCTCCAACACGGGAAGGGCCCCGGGCAAAGGACACAGTCCGCCCGGGAGCACAGGGGCGCGAGCACCCCGGGTCCCGGAGCCCTCCCCGGAACCCGCCCCCGCGCGGCCCCACGTCGCCCGGGGAGCGCGCCTCGCCGCGCGCGTCCCTGCCCGCGCCCGCGGCGCGTGCCCGCCCCGGTGCAGCCCCTCCTCCCCGCTGTGTTTATTAGGGGAAGGAGGGCGGAGGCGGAGGCCAGTTCTCCAGCTCCAGCCGCTGTCGCCGCCGCCTGTGCTGTTGCAGCCGCGGCCGCCTCCCGCCACCTCGCCCCGAGAAAGAGAACGCGCGCGAGCTTGGGCGTCCCCGCCCCAGCCTTTCCCAGAGCCATGAACCCCAACTGCGCCCGGTGCGGCAAGATCGTGTACCCCACGGAGAAGGTGAACTGTCTGGACAAGGTGAGCCCGGGACCGGGAGAAGCGTTTTTGCAATTCCCGAGCAGTGCTCCAATGGATGGGGGAGAGAAGGGCCAGGTCTTTACCGCTTTATCCTAGCGATCCCTGGAGAATGCAGGGAGGGAGGGCGGGCGGTGTCATAGGGTATAGGGACAGATCCGTCTGGAAACCAGGAGCTCTCGAGTGAGGCGAGCAGTCCACGCGTGGCGGGCAGCCACTACTGGAGGATAGGCTCTGTGTCCCGGGGTTGGGAGTCCGGGAGAGGAGCAGGGAAGCCAGGCCTCGGGGTGTGTCGGGGGAAGGTTAGGGGTGCAGTCCCGCCCCCTAGGGCCAGGAGAGCGAGAAGAGACGGCCGCTCCCTCTCCCCTCCGCGCCG